TGACAAATTTTATATTTGTATTAATCCAGAAGTTCAGGTCGGGTGACCTGTCCCTTTGTGATGAACTCCACAGTGGCAGGCCACAGGTCTTGGATAATGAACTAAACCTGTCATTAGTTTTCCGAACAATTCCAGGTTTCTGATGAAACGACGCATAGGGAAGACGTACAAGTTGAGCAAGTGGGTACCCTACACACTGCCGGAAGCCAACAAGCAACAACGAGTTTCAGCCTGCTTCTCGTTGCTCTCTCAGCACCGCAAATATTCCTATTTGATCAAGTGCTCACTCGTAACGAAAAATGTCAGACATTGGTTGTTACCACGGGACCCTTTGATTCACACTAGGACACCACCTCTATACCCGCGCAAAATAATGCTCTCTATCTGGTGAACTAGTCGACAAGCAGTGGACTATGAGCTGCCACTAACGGGTCAAACCATTACTGTGGCCTTGTACTCGTACAGCAGTTGCAACGTGTGCACCAGGCACACTGAGGCAGAAGCAACCAGTATTGGTTAGTCGCAAGGGTGTACTGTCCCATCATAAGAATGCCAGGCTACACGTGACGCGGGTTCCCAGGGATACCATACGGCAACTTGGCTGGGAGACATGTTCATGCCATTCACCTTACTCACCGGGGCTTGCGCCAACAGATTACCACCTCTTCTATTTCTTGGACAACCACCTTTATGGAAAATCCTTCACAAATAAGGCAGACTTTCGGTAGGCACTCGCAGACATCTTTGCGTCCAAGACATCTGATTTTTACCGCCAGGATATTGCGCAGCTGGAGGCACGTTAGCAAAAGGGTTTGGATGCCGATTATTTTGAGGGCTAACAAGTATGTCAAATTTGTTTTATACCTTTTTTGCTAATTAATAAAAAACGGCAAGGACTTTTTTTGGTTACCTTGTAGAAAGGCTGAAAAGTTGCTATAAAAACAAGTGTTCTTACTTGGAAGACTAATTCAATATAAATTTCTTATGTTGGGATTTGATATTTTTCTGAGTGGTGAGATTTCCTTGGAGGTCCGTATTTCTTCACTTACACATTCTCTCTCGCTCAATGTCGCTCTACCACATGTACACATAAACGCATATATATATATATATATATATATATATATATATATATATATATATATATACTCTCCGTCGGTTTCGACGTATGAGGATCTGACAGCTTATTGATTCAGTTATGAAAGTTTGTGCGATAATCTTAAGTGGCATTTAAGACCCGCTAGTGATTTACAAAAGAGGCCACACATGGAGCAAGTGTGGGGATTGTGAGATGAGATCACTGTTAGATTGACTGACCTTTTAGATCTTGCTCTCGCTTCTTGAAGATGATTCAGACAAGCAGATTGAAAATTGCTGAGTCCACTAAAACACACACACACACACACACACACACACACACACACACACACACACACACATATATATATATATATATATATGCTGGACTCTCTTGTCGCGGACGACAAATGAGGGCTCAGTAAAATAAAGAGGTTCTCAATTTTTATGGACATGGATGTGTCTCGTAATGCCTGCAGGTGTTGTGCAATCTTTTAGACAGATGGAACACGTGGTTGAGTCATTTTTCCGCGAATGGTTGAGTATCAATTGCCACATGTTTCCGCGAGTGGACAGCAAGGCCTGTTTTACTGTGCATGACAAAGCCACAATTGTAGGTCAAGCTAGCATTGAGAAGAGCAGCATGCTGCCAACTTTCTTTAATATTTGATTCCGCAGTTGATCCGATGTTCAAATCGGACCCGTTCAAACCTTTGTATAAATGACAAGCAGAACAGGCGCCCAGCTCCTTCACTCTGACGCTTTGTTTTCCCAAGAAAAAAGTGGATACTGCATCCCTTCAGATTGCTTTTGGGATTGTCTTTGTAACGCAAGAGAGGCCTTCCAACTGACACGCTTGTTAGAAGATGGCCAAGAAATATATATATATATATATATATATATATATATATATATATATATTAATCTAAAAAAAAAACATTGGTTCCTAAATGTAGTGGTATAGAAATCACAAGTTCAATTTCTGTGCTCTGCAGTGCAAGCTTTGATGGAAACTAAGCAGTATTAAAAGGATCTAGACAAGATATCCCTAGATATAGCCAGCGAAAGATTAAATAAAGTGTTCAGGTCGAAATTTATCAACAGGCACCTGATGAAGGCCGAAACGTTGCGTTAATAACAACAAAGATGAAGACAATAGTCTGCATGCAAGTAAAATAGACCCTTTTTAATTTTGTATGCGTCAACAAGTAAGGATCGAATTCACTTTGTAAACCATTACCCCCACACCAAATTAGATTGGTTTATTTTATGGTTGTGTTAATGTTGAATTTTGTATGGACCACCTAGAGAAAAGCGAAAGGGAGGATAAGTCGTAATGGTCAGCCGAACTAATTTTGCTAGCCATTACTTCTAACTGAACCAGACACGTTGATTTTACGATCGGTGGAGTAATGGATAGCGGCTCAAATTGAGGAGAGCCGAGTTCGAATTCCACTCGAATCCATTACATTGACTTACGTGCTAATACCCTTGGGAAAGGTATGAATCCTCTTCTTCTCCCTCCCAGCTATGGGTAAATAGCAGGGCAGACTGGGTTCTATAGTCTTGGATACTGGTCAAACCGGTCTACCAGTTATGTAAAGAAATGCAACCTACATCAGTCAAGGAGGTAAGCAATGTTGTCATTTTCTGTTATCTTTTATTTCCAAAAAATCTGCATCGTCAGTCATGTTCGAATTCCGAAAGATCCATTACATGATTGCCTAAAGTGTATCACGACATGCTATAGTCTTGGATAACTGACTGACATCATCGTCAAGGGAGGTACATGATTGCCTAAATGTTGCCATTTTCTGTTATCATTTTTTTATCTTTTTTCTAATAAAAGGATTGAGGAATCGGAGAGCCGAGTTCGAAATCCAGTCGAATCCATTACATTCATTTACGTGCTAATTACCCTTGGGAAAGGTATGAATACTCTTCTTCTCTCCCCCACCAGCTATTGGGTAAATAGCAGGACAGACCAGGCTCTATAGTCTTGCATGGCAACTGGTCTACCGCAGAAAGAAAAACTGCCGGAAAAAATTTACCTCGTCAGTCATGTATCGAAAGATAAATGATCGCTTAAGCGTCTATCACGCATGGCACATAACTGACTGACTGACAACTCATGTTGTTTTGTTTTATTTTATGGTATATCAAGCTTAATTGGTTATTTAATGGCGACAATATTTTTTATTGCTGGTAATATTTCTTTTCAAAAATGTATTGCTGCTAATAATGTATTGCTGATAATAATTTTTTCTTCAAAAATTAATGGATGGTAATAATTTTTTACAAAAATGTATTGCTGGTAATAAAACCTATTTTTACACGTTTTGACCCCAGTTTGAGGGATTAACTATTTGCTCATAGCTGGGACCCTGACAGATGCTACCACCCCGGGTCAGAATGAACCTGGGAACACCAGTAATTAAGAGGTGGTTCTATGCTCCTCAAAACCTCCTGATCAGAGGCATTGCTGTTGGACGTCGTTTATCGTCATACCCAGGACGTGGATGTAGTTTATCGTCTTACCCAGGACGCGGTTGTAGTTTATCGTCACACCCAGGACGCGGATGTAGTTTATCTTCATACCCAGGACGAGGATGTAGTTTATCGTCATACCCAGGACGCGGATGTACTTTATCGTCATACCCAGGACGCTGATGTAGTTTATCGTCTTACCCAGAACTGTCAACTCGTGTTGGGTTATTTAATGACGGATTTTATGTGGGGTTCCCACTGATGACTACTCAGTATCATTGGGCACTTCAATGTGGTGTAATGGTTAGCAAACTTGTTTCATTATATCAATTACGTTTGACTAGTGAGTTCCATAAATCTTTATTTGAAATATTTTATATGTAGGCACTTCAAACTTTATACTTTGAGTTAACATTAATAGGAACTGAAAAACATTATTTAGGTAAGAAAATCAGGTACTGAAAATCGTAATTAAAAATAGGAAAATTTGCGCTGGGTACTATGGGTACCCATGGTTAGTGTTCTAGGGTTAAACATTACTCTACGATAAGGCGCCTGTAGGAAAATGTGAATTCTTTTTCCGAAGACTTTTCTGCAAAGGAATTTGTTGTGGATTCCGAGATGAATTCGGTCTCCAAGGAATGACAAACGCAATAATTAAATATAAGAAATAAAATGTATTTACACAATCATACAAAGAGTAATACTGTTAGTAAATCCAGGGACGAGGTTAGTAGCAAATACAGATAGATATATACAGTCTCGAAGTAGGACTTCCTTAGAGTCTACGTGCTTGTAACTGACGTCTACAAGAGGTTACCTCACTCTATCACCGTTCGTATATTCTCGCTATATCCGTATATCCTCCCTCACTGACTGTCTAAATCTGGGTATTTAACGGCAGCACTCAAAGTAACACTGGTAGAGTCCACTTTTATGAAAAGGGGAGGACCCCATAACAGAATTGTAGTCACCGCCGTTGAAATTCGAACTCAAACTGACAATTTCACGCTCCTTGAAAGAAAGCATTACACAACCTCACACAATGGATCATTGAGTCAGTTGTATATATTATGTATTAGATGATCATGTAAGTTCACCAGATAGAAAAATAGGCGAGGTGATTCGTGTAGAAAAATTGTACTACGCCAATTTTCTAAATAGGGAGAATCTATTTACTAGCATTCAAAATTCTGTTTTTTTTTTTGTTTTTTTTTTTTTACGTGAGCTGAGAAATCGATGAAAGATCTCAATAGGGAATGAGCAGAATTGTACGTGTGTGCATATGTGTGTATGCTTATGGTGTTCGTTTTTATTTGTTCGTACATGTGTGTGTGTGTGTATGCGTACATGTACTGACTCTCAACTCACATTGCATATACGTGTTTGCAACCAAACACATTAATAGATCCCTTACTTTTCGTATCGACCACTTCATGGGATTAAACCTTGGTACTGTCAATATACACCTTTTCATTGTCTCTCTCTCTCTCTCTCTCTCTCTCTCTCTCTGTCATTGCCAGTCAGGCACATACACCAAGTTTGGCGTCTTTATCTCTCTTTCTTCTCCCCACCTCTCTTTCCCCGACTCTTTTTTCCCCGGATGGTGATTTGCATATTTCTACACAATCATTCAAATTCCCTGCAGGGCCGATAGCTTATTCGGTCAGCTTTCTCACCCGCTTTACAAAAGACAACATGAAACGGGCATCGATTAAAAATTGATTGCATCGTTTATTCAAGCTGATGAAACAATACGGAACGAGTTTTGTTGCTTTTCGACGTTTTGTTTCAGTTAAGAGTGACGTGCGTCCAACGAGCGGCAAGCGCTAAGTAACACGCAAGTTTTGCACTAAGGCTCTATCGCTAGGCGTCGTGAATCGATTATCGTTTTCTCGCCTCATTTAACGGAGAGTTCCCAATGCTCATTTGTACCTTCTGGTTAGTTCTTTTCTGTGTGTCTCTTCAGGACATGGGCGATCATGGTTCTCCACAACTTTCTACCCTTTGTATTTCTTAGTAAGAGCTTTTCCCTGTCTCTCATAATCCCTGTCCTGCCACCCATTTAAACAAACTCGTTAGGCAGATTACTCATTGTTTCCGTTTGTTGCCTTCAATATGTGCCGTGAGGATCAAATTCTCCAACATCTCTTTCCTCATTATATTTCCTAAAGACTTCAACTTTGTGTATAATTGTCCTTTTTGCCTTCATTTTCTTTAAAACTTCCTCGTTACTCACATGTTTAGTCTATGGTATTTTCAGCGTTTCTCTGTAGAGACCACATTTCTGATGCTTCAAATCTTTTCTTCATCCATGAGGAGATTGTCCAGCATTCAATGCTATATAGATATAAGAGGACCGATATTTTATACAGTTCACAACTCTTTTCTTTGTTTCTAACGAGTTTTTCCTGTTTCTTAATACTTTCCTTAGCTTTTAGAAAGCATCTTCCTCTATTATTATAATACGCCTTCTGATTTCGGTGCAACATTTCCCGTCCTCTGTTAAACACTTTCCAGATTTTTAAATTTTCTTACTGGCTTTATTTTGATATTCATATTTCGTAGTTCGCATCTTTGGTTGTTTCTCTTGATGACCACAATATATTCTGCTTCCTTACAATTAATGGCTAGTCTTTTCTTCCAGCTTTCTTTCTAATACGATCTGTAAAAGTTTCTGCAGTCCCCTTTCTGGGTTTGCTGTCAACATTGCGTCTCCTGCGTATCTTATATCGTTAAGATTGTAGGACTTCTAATTTTCTCATGGCCGCTTTGCTGTAAACTTTGAATACGTCCGGTGAGACGACCCGTCCTTGTCTTACGCCCTTTTCTATTTTTCTGTATTTATTGAATCCACTTTCTATCCGCAGGCAGGCGGTTTGCTCCCAGTATACGTTCGTGGTTATTCTAATATCTTTCCCAGATAAATCAAGTCTGCCTCGCAGTTCAAACTTTGTCGTGCTTTATCAAATAATTTTTCAATCTATAAAGCAATCAATAAAACATATAAAATCTATAAAACAATCTATAAAACATATACAACCTACAATGCAATCTGTAAAACAATGTGTAACGCATTCTACAAAACATATACAATCTTTAAAGCAATCTATAAAGCAATCTATAAAATATATGCAATCTATAAAACGAATTATAAAACATTCCATAAAACATATACAACCCATCAAACAATCTATAAAGCAATCTATAAAACAATAAAACAATCTATAAAGCAATCTATAAAACATATACAATCTATAAATCTATAAAACATATACAACCTATAAAACAATCTATAAAACAATGTATAAAGCAATCTATAAAATACATACAATCTATAAAGCAATCTATAAAACATATACAACCTATAAAACAATGTATAAAGCAATCTATAAAACATATACAACATATAAAACAATCTATGAAACATATACAATCTATGAAACAATCTATAAAACAATATATAAAGCAATCTATAAAGCATATACAATCTATGAAACAATCTATGAAACAGTCTATAAAGCTATCTATAAAATATATACATTCTATAAGACATATACATCATTTTGTATTTGAACTGCTCTTTTTGATATCATCCTGAACATAAATTCCTTGTCTCAAAATGTCTTTAACGAAACCGTATTGTTCTTGTACAATTTCCAGTCCAATTCTGCTATGTGGTCTATTTGGATGATACTTTTTGTATTCTGTCTCATTAGGCTGATTATCCCATATACCTCATATACTCATAGCCTTGTGTCAAAATTGCCTAACGCTTATTGAAGACGGAGTCATTAGGAAATGGTCAGCATGTTTATTTTCTCTATTCATATTCTTTGCTTTGAACATCTATTACTCATCCCGTGGCCCCAAAGTGGAACCCATCTATAAAATCTCTTACTAAAGATACTGGATAAATTTTTTGTTTCTTCTACCGATTCAGAAATTACCTGGCACCTTCTACCATGTTCTCTTTTTACAAAATCCAGATCAGACCAAAAATGGAGTGTTCCTTCTGTAGCTACCCAAACTTTACTTTCCGGCCTCGATAGCCCACAAAAGCGTTTACACGATCCTGTGGGCGATGAATTATTTTCAACCCGAGAACCCCCTTTCCCTCGGGTGAAATGTCGCAAGCTTATCTCTACTCTATCGCTTTTTCCATGGCAAATGTTTACACGTGCTACATCCACTAATCCAGAAATTCACAATTAGGATCCACCATGCCACGTACAATCATTCTTATTTCCTCCGTATTCTGTTGGCAAGAAGGAAGTACCATTCTGACAGCTTCTTTACGAAACCTGCTTATCTGTGGGTCAGGCCCCCGAGAAGCTGTTTTCCCGATCACCACAATCTTTAAAAGTAGGGTTTTATCCATCCTACATATCCTCAAAATATGCATTTACTTCTTACCCTAGAAGCTCATTCAGTAACCGTATATTTTGATTGGCTCTTGGGCCTTGTATTTGGTGAACATTTAAAAAAAAATGTAATACTGATTTAGGTTCAATCCTCAAAATGTGTTCCACAATTGTTGTCCAATGATAACATCTGATAAGAATAGAAGAGTAAATTTTTCATACGTAAAGTAATTTTTTTATTAAGTTCTGGACACCTTCAAATAGACGTCAGCCGTGGAGGGTATGTGGTTTCGGGGACTTTCTTCGAACGTTCGATTTTCTTCTCTTGAAGATGTGAGGAACTTTCACTATCGTGGGTCGGATGTTTATATAACTTCATCTCATCCGGTAGTCTTGTGTGGGTATATCCTAAGTTGTTGCCCTAGCCCACGGCATCTTTTGAGGCCTGATACCTTCGTCTTCATATGGTTCATACTTGGGTCACAGAAAGAGAAAGAGTTAATTTTCTATCGGGATTTTCCTTCTCTTCGACGACAGCGAGTACCCACGCTAATGAGCCTAGATTGCCCTGATTTTTAAACCATAGTTGGGGGAAGTTTGATAAACACCAAGAATAAAAGCGCAAGTTGCTTTTATGCGTCGAGTTCCATCAAGATATAGGCGATCATGGCTCTCCACGACTTTCTATTCTTTACGGTTTTTCTCCCTTTGCTAAGGCCCACGCCCCACTATTCCACGATCTATCTAGACATGATCGTCGCATAAGTGGCTCGCTACAATACCTAAACGCATTGTTCTACTAATCTTAATTAAATTAAGTTATTTTTCAGTCAATAATATGTCATGAAAGCAAAAGAAAAAAGATTAGGTTTTGATGAACCAATTTTAGATTTCAGCAAATTATAATAACACTTTCGACTACAGTTCTTCTTCATTCACACGTGAAAATAATGCCAGGCTGTCTAACACTTAACCAAGAAAAATATTTCATAGTTCTTTTTTTATTTTTTAATATCTCTTTTCACAGAATATACATTTTTCGTCAAATGTCAACGTTGCTCATATTCCAGTAGAAAAACTAATAAAAATTCTCAGTAATAATTACGATTAGGCTCTGAGATTTACCCTATTGGCAAATATCATTAATATTAATGCAATGTCTTAATGTTTTACATATATATATATATATATATATATATATATATATATATATATATATATATATATATATATATAATAAAACATAAATCAATATATATATATATATATATATATGTGTGTGTGTGTGTGTGTGTGTTCATACATGTTTCATTAAATAATATAGACACGTGTTGTCTATTTATTTTATGTAAATTCTTTTCATAACGTCTGATAAGCTTAATAACATTATCATTAAACGAAGAAAGAAAATCACAATATTGATCCATATGTTTTAATCCTATCTAAGCTTTCGGCTTACCTAAGCATATCATAGATGTCAATTACAGTACAATATATTAAGCAATATACGGACAAGACAGTGATGATAGTCTGTGATTCTTTACATGGATAATTTCCAAGCTACGGTAAACACGCGCATCTAAGACACTAAAAGCGAAAATCGCACTGCAGCTCATGACGTCACACATGACCACGCGAGAGTGAATTCGAGAAGTATTAAGTATGGGAAGCTGTTGGTATAAACCAATGGCTTCTGTTACCAATTATAGACATTTAAGGATATTTGTAGAGATTCCATAGTTGATTTTGTTTAGGTTAGGTTTCAACTGTTTGATGTATAATGCTTCAAGGATTTTTAGTTTTTGTCTATTGTTTTCATGTTTAAGTATAATTGTGTTTTCGACAAGGATTTTACGGAATAGTGTGTGCGACCAGGCATGTTGTTTTAAATGCCTAAAAATGTTATATATATATATATATATATATATATATATATATATATATATATATATATATATATATTTAATGAAAAACAGATCACTTTAAGGTACCATTACAATAATTTATTTCACCAAAATCCTTTTTAAAGGACTCCGGATCATCAGGTAACAATTCCAACAACGAAATGAAAGGAAAAATGGGATTAGAAATTGTTGGGTAGTGTAATTTTTGTAATTTAACAGGGAGGATGATAGTTGTAGTTAACGAGACAAGGTAGAGTATAGGGAGGGGTTAATTTCATATTTCTCTTAAGCATGCTTTATATTGGGGTAGGAGGAGTGACCTAATCGTGACCTATTTAGATGGTTAACTTAACGGAAATGATATATAGGAATGGGAGGGGAGTGGGGAGAGAAGAAAAGGAAAAATGGAAAAGAGAGAGGAGACAGACGACAGTAATACAGATATATCCAAATGAGTGTTACGGCAAAGAGAGAGGGGGAGAGGGAAGTGAATCGAAAGAGGCTGTAATGTTGTTTTAACAAAATTATGTAAAAGATAGATTTCAATGCTTGATAGAAATTTAGATGTCAAAAAAATGATGAATGTTATCAATTCAAACATTTAATTTTTTAAGTAAATAGTTTAGGGACTTAATATAAGTTAACTACTATTTTTATTAGCACATTTATCGAGAACCTATTAAAGAAATATTTAAAATTATAATAGTTTATTTACCCGACCAATTGTACTTCCATAATATTGTAAAAAAATTTCGGTAACAATAACATCTATATTAGTTTTACTTTTAATCTAATTTATGAATGCAATTTTTCTTTATTATTATATGGGTAAACTTAATTAAGGTTTAGGTTTCATTATTTAATAATATTTGAGGGTGATATTAAAGATTTTGTTTTCTTCTTATATGTATCTCACAAACATATTCATGCAAATCCATATATACATACGTTTATTTACATAAAGTCACGTATTTACGTAAGTCACTTTCCTGATGTAAACAAGAATAAACACAGCATGAACTTATTATATGGTAACCAGATGCAAATTAATTCTAAACTGGATGAAAAGGCAATTAAAATATAATTCACCTATCTTAGCAAGTAACTTAGATCTATCATCTACTATAGAAAGTTTAAAACTTTGAATCTAATCGTTACCAAATGTAAAAATAATGTTTTCTCCGAGAGACGCTATATCCAATATTAATAATAATAAAAAAAAAACCCAAAACAGCATTAACTTCTTACATCGGGCACACATAAACTACACTATCTCTCAGGTTGACTTGTCACCTGTCAAAACTCGTTCAATTCGTGTACATATCGAAAAACACATTAACAACAGCCAAAATACAACATATAACAAATACTCGTAGATAACACCAAAATACTCTTCAAGGAATGCAAGGAAAGACTCAAAATCCTAGAAGCTATTTTTATACAAAATAAATAACTCACATAAAATATCATTGAATACAGGGGATGGTATCTTGAAGTGTATATGGTATTATTTAATATGCACGCGCGCGCGCACACACACATACACAAACACACACATACACAAACACACACATACACACGTATATATATATATATATATATAAAGATATTTTTGTAGGTACAAAATTTAATGATCGAAATAAAAGTATAAAATTTAATATTACAAGGCATATTAAACACAAAAATATTTAAAAAAAACACAACAACGGGGGGGGGAAGCAACCGGTTTCGCTCCCGCTCTTGAAGCTTCAACGGTTAGGAAGCACTGCTCTAGATTATTCAAGTGGAAAATTCTAGAATGTTCTAATAATAATGTTATCAGTAGTTATTTTTAACCTAAAAAAATATAAAAAGAACATTCTGTAATTCATATTCGTGCAAGAATGTTATCATCCTGGCAAAGAATTGACAAATTCGTAAAAAAAGCTGATTGTTAAGCTCAGGAAAGAAGGTAAAAGTTACAGGAAAATCTCAGACAACCTGTATACTCTATTTACTACCATTAGTTCATTCATTGCAAAGTATAAAAAACTAAAAACTGTTGAAAACCAAAGAAGAACAGGTGCTCCACGAAAGATTTCTTCAAGATCTTCGAGGAAATTAATGCATCAAATTAAACAAAATTCAATGGCTACTCATCAAGAATTGCAGGATGATTTGCTTTCATCGGGAATCTGTGTTACTAAACGTTTAATAAGCAATGAAATTCATAAGAACAATTTAAAGCCATGCTCCCCTAGGAAAATTCCACTGCTATTGAAAAGACACAGAGATGCAAGGCTGAAATTCGTTCGTTAATATAAGGATGAGGAAAAATCGTATTGGGAAAGAGTATTATGGACAGACGAAACAAAAAATTGAGTTGTTTGGATGTAGTTCTAAGAATCATCTATGGAGGAAAGATGGCGATGCCTTGCAAACAAAAGAACACAGTTCCAATAATGAAATTTGGTGGTGGCAGCATCGTGGTTTTAGGAGGTTTTTCTGCAAAAGGTACTGACATTATATTAGTAATAGATGGTAGAATGAATGCCGCAGCATATTAAAATATTTTGGAAGCAAATTTAATGATTTTGATTGAAAATCTTGAACTTCCTCCTGATTGGATCTTCCAACAAGATAATGATCCTAAGCACACTGAAAAATCTACGAAGAAATGGCTTGCAGAAAATAATGTAAATATCCTGAAATGACCAAGTCAGTCCCCAGATTTAAACTCAATCGAGAATCTGTGATGTTATTTGAAAAATCCAATTCAATCGAGCGCTCCAACATCCCAGGTCTGAAGACCATATGCAAAGAAGAATGGAACAAAATAGCAACTAAAATTTGCAAATCATTAATTGAGAACTACAAGAAGAGGTTGGTTAGTCAAGAAGTGAATAATGGCTATTCTACAAAATATTAAATGAAGATTATGTTTTCTTTTTTGTATTGTATGAATACTTTTTTCAGCTATTAAAATGGATAAATGTGATTTATTTCTATTAAATCAAAATCTTTTCTGTTTTCTATGCATATTTAATTATTATGCATCTGTGTACAGTTAATTATATGAAAAGTATGTTTATTCATTAGTTGGAAATACAATAAATTAAAAATTTGTATGTGGACGAATATCTGTCCCCCCTTCCACTATATATATATATATATATATATATATATATATATATATATTTGCGGCCCAACCCTAGTTTGGCTAAAAGCGATGGCAAAGAAAATTAACACATGTAAATGAAGGGTGGACGTTGTTAGTCGAGATGAAAGGAAACGGAATAAATTTCAACAAGGCGATGATTTCATGTGTGTTTTTATAGAACAATCGACTGATTAAAAACGGAGAGGAAATACATTAGAATGCAGACAAACAGAACTAAAAAGAAAGAAGCCATTAAAATTGATAAATTGTATGAGTGATACATGCGCACACGTGTTTGTGTGTGCGTGTGTGTGCGTGTGTGAAAAGGTTGAGCCCCTCGGGGGAAAGATGTCCCCATGCTGGGAACACGTCCCTTGCTGTTTATACTTTGACCACAGGTAAACAGAGAAAATAGAAAGAAAACAGGACATGTCCGGGTTTTTTTTTATAGCTGTTCAACAGATCTCTCTCTATATCTGTCTCTATCACTCTTTCTCTTTTACTCTCTCTCTCTGTATTTCTCTTTCTCTATCTCACTCTATCTCTCTCTTTCTCTCTCTTTCTCTATCTCTATCACTCTTTCTCTCTCTCTCTCTTTATTTCTCTTTCTCTTTCTCTATATCACTCTTTCTCTCTGTATTTCTCTTTTCTCTTTCTCTCTCTCACTTTATCTATCTAACGCTATCATTTTTTCTCTCTCTCTCTATGTATTTCTCTTTCTCTATCTCATTCTATCTCTCTCTTTTCTCTCTGCATCACTCTTTCTTTCTCTCGCTGTATTTCTCTTTCTCCATCTCCCTCTCACACTCGTTCTCTCTCTCTTTATTTCTCTTTCTCTCTCTCTCTCTTACACACTCGTTCTCTCTCTCTGTATTTCTCTTTCTCTCTCTCTCTATCGCTCTGTCATCCTCTCTCTCTCTGTATTTCTTTACCTCTCTCTATCTATCCATCTCTCTGTATTTCTCTTTCTCTCTCTCTCTGTGTCTCTATATCTCTTTCTCTCACCCTGTATACATATATTTATATCCAAATGAGTGAAAGAACAGATGGAGTAAAAATCCACAGTTCGTAGAATTTACTTTTTAAAAAGTGCTCAATACAAAGTAGAGCAATATATCATTATTATTATAGTTTTATTATAAAACATTATAATATATTGAAATATAGTCAAAGGATAGAAACATGAAAGCTTTTTTGTAGCGATTTCAATTTTTTCATTATAATCTTTTATAAGAAAAATAATAATTATAATACTACTACTACTAATAATAATAAAAATACATATATATATAAATATATATATATAGAATATATATATTTATCTATCTCTCTAAAAAATTGACACATTTTACTTTTACACATCTAAGCTAAACATATCAACATGTTTTTGTTTTGCTTTTTCCTTCTTTAATGAAAGAAATCTGAAAAAAAAAAAAAAGAAATCGAATTTGAGACTAGTGATAATATTTCTTCTTATATTCCCTTTATAAGAACAGACACGACAAACCTGAATTCCTTTCATGTTCACCATTTATTGGCTGTCTAAATGGCATTTATCTGCTGCAACGCTTTCAACGGCTCGGGATATTAAAACTGACGTTAATACGACGAATCCATACAAGTGGCGAAATTAACCGAAGTAAAGCGGAAGTAGCCGAAGTGAAACGGAAGTGAACGAAGTGAGTGTAGCCCTTATGAAATGAGGTGGAATAGATAAATTGTTTCATTGGATGTCTGCGAAGATAATTATGCAGATTCTTTTCTGATCAATGAACGTTAATTAATTTTTTTCCCTTTCTTTCTCGGCAAATTGGTTTCTCTTCCACATTTTCCTTTCATTTTCGCCAGACTTTCTTTTTATCTCTTCTCTAGTCGTTCCCTACTTTTTCTTTCTCTTCTTTCTTTATCTTTTTACTTAAAGGCATCTTCTTTATCTGCGGCTATCATTCCTGATTTTTATCCTCCTTGCTTCTCTACCTTTTTTTTCCGTATGTGCTTTTATCTTCATTAAATCCTTGCTTTTTCTTTCATTCCCCCTCCCGGTCAATTCTCTTACCTATGCTTCCATAATCTTCTATATATAAATTCTTGGCTTTGGTCGGTTAAAAAAAAATGAAGCTATTTAAACTAATTAGATTCGGTAAGCTTTGCTTATGTTGAAACTCGACGAGTATATAAGACCGCCGGTGTCGATCGAACTCTTTACACTAGCGAATTGTTAATGAATGCTAGAAAAGAGCCTCAAACAAATTTATCATATAAATCTTGAAGAAGACTTTATAGCCTGGCGCCACAAAATTACAAACAAAAAGGCTTTATGAATTAACAAAAAGCACATCATTTGAAAACTTCCAACAGCGATAACAACTAAAATGGGCAGCACATGTAACTAGAGTAGAAAATAATATAATCAAGATGCTAAGTTTCCACCGTAAGATAAAAGTTTGGAGGGAAACTATCATCAATATAAGAAAGTGCTATAACATTTAATGGAATTGAGAAGTCTTTTTTCCTGAAAAACCTTTAAGATTTTATAAATTTCTACCGACTGTGAGGATGATTAATTATAGAATGTTTTAGTATGGAAACGACTGATTCAACCATTACCAATTGATCTACGAGATTATTTCGGCATTTATCATTCGATGGTATCTATTCTATTTTTTCATTCTACAGGAGATTGAAAAGTAGCTCCATATTATATGTATGATGGATTCTTCATTCTTATAAAAATTATAGTTAGACGTCTAGAGAATTTAATACTTTCTTGGTATTTTCTCAATCGTAACCTTTTGTCAGACTAAGCTAAACAGAGAGTGATCTGTTTTTTTTTATGGCTTATCAGCTATTTGTGGAGTATTTGTGGGGTATTTGTGGGGTATTTGTGGGGTATTTGTGGGGCATTTAAAGCCGAAACTTGGTTGCAATGCAAGGATAATTATTTTCTTTTACGAGTGAATATTGTATTAATGATATTTTTGAGAGTAACAATGAGTTTTTCAAGATACCAGTTCTAATATTGAACCCAGAGCTGGGAAAGGGAGATGAATTCATATCTTTCCCAAGGGTATTTGTATGTTCTGCGTATGTGCGTAAAGTTATATCAAAGAGGTTGAGAAAGTAAAATTTTGAGAAGACTTCTTTGTTGGTTTGGTAGAATAATTAGATATACCGATGAATAGTCAAGTAAGCTTAGGACATTGTATGTTGTGTACTTTCTGTATTGTGTTCAATGCGACTTGAAATTCGCCAAAATCTGATCTCTGAGGCTTCTTATGAGTAAAGGAGAAAAAATGTTGGAGATTTCTTTATATACTGATTTTGACAACACCGTCAAGCGGTTGTTAGCAGAATTTCTTTGGCGGACAAGTGGGGTAATCACACAGTTGTGATAAACATGTCTTGTGAGGATTTTTTCTTCGAAAAATAGTAATTGTTCCGTGCCGACTATTTGAAATTATTCATTAGTCATTAGATCAGACCGATACTATCAGAGTGCATTCAAACCATATTTAGGGCCCAACGCTATCGACCTTGTACCTTACAAAGGAAATCTTAGTTATTATGTATATTTATTTTTCTTGATACATTTCATCCTTGAGCAGTTTTCTTCTAGCTTTACAGATTGGTGTATTTTTGAGAGGTACATGTTCTTTTGTTAGGAAATGAGCGAGAATCTTGTTGCTTTGCCCTTTCGTAATTTCACTCTTAATTTTCTCGTTTTTTTTTCTTTCTTTCTTGCGTTCAAATTCCCTGATCATTTTCTCTTTCCTTTACTTTCCTCTGCCTCTGTTTCTCTCTCTCTCTCTCTCCATTCCCACTCTCTCTATTCCTCTCTCTCTATTTCTCTCCTTCTCTCTCTAATCCTCCCACTCTCTCTACATATATATCCATTGATAGCTCGGTATTACAGACCTCCCTTTAACGGACATATTTTGGTTCGTCTTCTCCTCCCACTTTGCCTAAAAATTTATTTTCTCTCTATTTTACAATGTCACTCTTCCCTTTCTTTATCTTTGACTTTCTCTTTGCCTCATTCGCTTTCCCTTCTCCGTGTTTGTCGTTCTAAAATGAACAACAAACTTGATTAGCCAATGAGGACGTTCATCGGTGTCTACATAACGACATTAAGTGCTGTGTCCAATTTTAAAACCGTCCAGAAACGTGAGTCTACTGCAATGAGGGTCGATCGCGTGCAGCAGGGCCACCAACCCAATCCACCCGTTCACCTGTTGTTCAAAGGCTTTGCACCCAAGGGAGGTCATTCTGGTGTGAAGTTTTATTGATTTTTCGGACTGCAAAGGTCATGCGCAGAAAATGTAATCACTAAGACTGTTAAGTGAGTCTTTACTTGTTTGCAGTTAGGTCGAAGATTTGGGAAGGGGTGGGAAGCATTAACGCCCCGGAAAGTTTTGGTCCTCACAAGAGTATCAGGAAAACAGTCATAAACAGCATGAAAACATTCTTGAAATACGCTTTACATCATGAAATTATCTTTTATACCCGGTAACAGGTTCTATTACCCCTATAAAATAATTGAACAAATCAGTAATGAATACTTTAACGATGCATTAGATAACTTCTGTTATCTTCAAAGAAGTCATTTCAGCCGATACGTTTTACAATCTTCTTCTGGTCGGAATTCCGCATGGAAGGTCACTTTCGTAATCATTGAAAAAATCATTTAGGCCGATACGTTTTACAATCTTCTTCTGGTAGGAATTCCGCATGGTAGGTCACTTTCGTAATCTGAGGAAAAGTAATTTTGGCCGATACGTTTTACAATCTACTTCTGGTAGTAATTCCGCATGGAAGGTCACTTTTGTAATATTTGGAAAAGTCTTTTCAGCCGATACATTTTACAATCTCCTTCCGGTCGGAATTCTGCATGGAAGATCACTTCCATAATCTTTGGAAAAGTCATTTCAGCCGATACGTTTTACAATCTTCTTCTGGTCGGAATTCCGCATGGAAGGTCACTTCCGTAATCTTTGGAAAAGTCTTTTCAGCCGATACGTTTTACAATCTTTTTCTGGTCGGAATTGCGCATGGAAGGTCACTTCCATCATCTTTGGAAAAGTCATTTTAGCCGATACGTTTTACAATCTACTTCCGGTCGGAATTCCGCATGGAAGGTCACTTCCATCATCTTTGGAAAAGTCATTTTAGCCGATACGTTTTACAATCTAATTCCGGTCGGAATTCCGCATTGAAGGTCACTTCCATAATCTTTGGAAAAGTCATTTCAGCCGATACGTTTTACAATCTTCTTCTGGTCGGAATTCCGTATGGTAGGTCACTTCCATAATCTTTAGAAAAGTCATTTCAGCCGATACGTTTTACAATCTTTTTCTGGTCGGAATTCCGCATGGAAGGTCACTTTCGTAATCATTGAAAAAATCATTTAGGCCGATACGTTTTACAATCTTCTTCTGGTAGGAATTCCGCATGGTAGGTCACTTTCGTAATCTGAGGAAAAGTAATTTTGGCCGATACGTTTTACAATCTACTTCTGGTAGTAATTCCGCATGGAAGGTCACTTTTGTAATATTTGGAAAAGTCTTTTCAGCCGATACATTTTACAATCTCCTTCCGGTCGGAATTCTGCATGGAAGATCACTTCCATAATCTTTGGAAAAGTCATTTCAGCCGATACGTTTTACAATCTTCTGGTCGGAATTCCGCATGGAAGGTCACTTCCGTAATCTTTGGAAAAGTCTTTTCAGCCGATATGTTTTACAATCTTTTTCTGGTCGGAATTGCGCATGGAAGGTCACTTCCATAATCTTTGGAAAAGTCATTTCAGCCGATACGTTTTACAATCTCCTTCCGGTCGGAATTGCGCATGGAAGGTCACTTCCATCATCTTTGGAAAAGTCATTTCAGCCGATACGTTTTACAATCTTCTTCTGGTCAGAATTCCGCATGGAAGATCACTTCTGTAATCTTTGGAAAAGTCATTTCAGCCGATACGCTTTACAATCTTCTTCTGCTCGGAATTCCGTATG